GGCAGCTGCTAGGTATGGTTTCCCACCCCGCATCCTTGCCATGGCCGTCCTGATGCATATGGCGGCGAGAGCTTCCAGGCAGAACGGAGCATTCAGTGAACCAATCCACGCCACTAGGTCTTTATTCGCAGAACCTCGACATTCCGACAGTCTTGCGCGTGCAGTTGTATATGGTGCGCTTGAGGGCATGACAATTTCATCGCCCAGGTGTATGCCGCGAGCTTGGTTCGACGACCTGAGCGCGCAATGCATCGGTAGTCGCGACGTGCTCCCTGGCCCGGTCGTCTCTACCACCTACAGCGTCTTCCTCGAGCTGGGTAGGCAAAACCTGGCCATGGCGGATAAGCCTGCGTTCCACGAGCTGCCCGAAGCTCACGAAGATCACCGCGGACAGACTGCATGAGCTCCAGGTACCTATTCGCAAAACCACTGAGGGGCGTGATTCGGAGGTGGACAGAGGCGGAAAGACTACGACGCATCGCGGCACGCACCAGAAGAGAAGGAAAGCGGCTGCACGCAGATTTGGACGTATTGTTTCGATGCTCAAGCCCCTGACTTCCATGCAGCATAGGCAGTTCTCCAACCAATGCCCCATGGCGTCAACGACTTTCCATCGTGTCTACGTTGATTCCCCCTCAGAGTTTCTGAAAACACGGCATCAGCACGCTAGGGCACTGAGACGGCCTTGGGCTGGCAGATGTCCCACTTCCCTCCTCGACTTGGAAGGGGGCGACCCTGGTGCGACGATGCCCAAGCTCCAAGTGCAATCGTGGTTTGACATGTGGGCTGAGCGCCCCGACCTCCGCAAGGGCTTCATCGAGGCGCGGCCCGCCATCAGACAAAGACTTCTCGACGCAGCACCCGGACACAGGTGGCAACATAAACGAGGAGCTATTGGCAGTATTATACTCACGCTGTGGAGTTATGGATGGGGCGGCGCTGCAGCTGATACGTGGACTGATGCAGAATGCAGCACTTGGGCATTGGGCCGGTGACCCCGCAGACTTGATCGACACGCTAGTTCAAGATATAAGACTGAGGCAGTGGAAACAAGCAACAGCGCATTACCATGGGCGAGGTTGTGAACGCGGGATTGACAACGCGGATCTACGACGTCGGCCCCGATCACTTCCGCACCAAGGTAGATATTCAGAGTACGGGGCCCTACTTGCAGTGGCATGTGCGGGAACTTGGACAGGCAAACGCATCTCCGTCGTCGGTGGCAAAGCGGAACCATGCAGGATGACGATGTCCGTCGAATTTGGGGACAGTGCCAGGCGCGAGGGCAGATGCCAGTTTATGAGAAATCCAGCTACCTTCTACAGAGAGCGGATAGCCAAGTGGAAGATATCCCGTGCTACTGGCTACGAGGACTTACACCGCGCAAGTGGACCTGCCCCGACCCCCGCGCCACGACCGACTGCGAGACGGATATGGGCGAGCGCATTGGCGCTCTGAGGACAAGTTCACCCAACGCCGACCCCCTTGTCATCTACTGCGGCGGCGGCGGTGGTGAACGATCTGGAGACGAAAGGTATATGCGTTGCGGTTGGGCTTGGGTCCGACTTGGCCTCAACCAACTGGGCGACTGCATTATGTGCGCTGGAAAGGGGGGGCCACTTCCTGGACCGAGACAATCTAATAATCGCGCCGAGGTCTGGGCATTCTACAGCTGCCTTAATAAGGGCACAGATGGGCCGTTACATTTTTGGGCGGACTCAGGAGACCTCGCAGCAGGATGGAGGAGCCAAATGCATTCTTGGCCAGCCAATTGAGGTCCCAACGCCGACCTATGAAAGCTCATCGACATCGAACTGGGCAGAAGATCGGGGCCAGTGGAACTTCACCAGATTGAAAGCCACCTATCGCTAGAGGAAGCTATAAGTAAAGGCTATCCCAAGCACGCCTGGGCAATTAATTCCATTGCGGGCAATTTCGCGGACCAGGCGGCAGCGGACCACAGCATTCCTCAAGCGCAACTGGATCGTTATGATTGGGCAAGAGCGGCATAGGTGACGTCGCGGGACAGGAATTGCCAGGCTACCCGTGACGCATTTGAAAGACGGCCGCCTCACGTGGAGATAGGGCAGCAGGCCGCGCGAAACAGCCAGGCCTCACACCGATCAAAGACCTCTTCATTAAGTGCAGCCACGACATCGCCAAGGACGGGAAACTACCACGTTTGGACTGCAAAGGGTGCAAGCAGTTGCTTGCGAAGACGGGCGCGAAGACGCTCGCCAGGAATTGACCCACTACTACCTGTCAGAATACCGCTCTCGCAACTCAGACAAGACGAGAAGTACTTATGGGGGGCCAGCACGCACGCCATTCACATCCCATGTTCTGCAGTAGCAAGGGGGAGAAGTGGTTATGTGTCGTATGCGCAGCTCGTGCCAGCCCTGGGCCGCGCGGCTATCTGGGAAGGCGCTTGATGGACGAATGCAGCAAAGCACCGAACTCACAGTCTGGCAAGTACCTCCCGGCAAAGCGACCCAGATGCACAGCCTGGAATGGATCGCTCGAGAGACGTGCCTGCGGCAGAGAGAAACCGAGCGCGATATCGAGTTGATCATCGATTACTACGTGTAATGTGGAGGATTCGTGCCAGTCTATGGTTACCTGCATTGTCATGGTTGGTGGCAGCTGCGGGCTCAGCGCACGCTTCCCCGCCACAGGCGGGGTGCTAGGCTGCCAGCCCAGGTTGGTAGAGGGCTGGGTGAGGCCCCCGCGAGTCCATCACGTCTTCAGTGGTGCATGCCTACAGGCCCCACCCCTTGTTCGTCTCAGAAGCGTCCCGTGAGGGAGTTCTGACCAACTGTCGGTGGCGGTTGCGCTTGCCCTCTGACGGGGGTTGGGCCAGGCCATGGCTGCTGAGGGCGTGTGGGAGCGTCCCGTGAGGGAGTTCTGGCCGACTGTCGGTGATCGTCGCGCTTGCCTCCCACACGCCCTCAAGCCTGTTCGTTGCGGAAGCGTCCCGTGAGGGAGATTCTGGCCGACAGTCGGTGACGGTCGCGCTTGCCTTCCGACGGGGGCAGCCATGGCCGTGCCGATTGGGCGTCGACACCGATTTCGAGCTGGGCGTCGACATCGATTTCTTATTGATATTTCTGGGCGGTCGTTCGGTGTCTCCGAGACGGCCGCCGACCGCGCCGAGTGCCTCGAGAAGCTCTCCGAGTTGTACGTCGAGGCCCGGGCGTGCGGGGCCGCGCGTGCGTGCGCGGTGTGCGTGCCCGCCCCCGAGCGACACCGTCGCTGCCTGCGTCCTGCGTCATCCCCCTCCCCCTCCCCGTCCCCCTCCTCCTCGTCCTCCTCCTCCTCCTCCTCTTCCTCCTCCTCCTCCTCCTCTTCCTCCTCCTCCTCGTCCTCCTCCTCCTCCGCCTCCTCCCTCTCTCTTTCGTTCGCACTGGGCGAACATGGAGGCTTGGCCTGTTGCGTTCCCCCCACCCCCCTCCTCTTGCATCAGGCAGCGCTGCGCGGCCTGCGGTCCACACCAGTCCGTCTTGGCAGTGCCGCGAGGGGCCTCCTTTCTTGACGTCAGGCGGACATTGAGGCCAGGCTTGTTGCGTTCCATACCTCCTCCACTTCCTCCTCCCCCTCCTCCTCGTCCTCCTCATCCTGCTCCTCCCGCCCCCTCTTCCCTCGTCCTTCTTGTCGTCGCCATCCTCCTCCTCCACCCTCTGCCTCCCTGTTTCGTCCGTGGGCCTCATTTCTCCTTTCCCGACGACGTTGACGACGCGAGCCGCGGCCCAGCCAGGCGCTCCCTTGGCGTTGGGGCAGGGCGTGCCCGTTGGGGGGCACGTAATGTCGAGAACAGAAAACGCTACCGCCATAGTAAGCACCCCGACAAACGAAGCCGTTCGGTAAACGCACCCCAGGAAAAAAAAACAGAGCAGAGCAGGACAATTTCGTAAACGCCCAGGGTGTTTTTTCGAAGACGTTCGTCCTCCCCGGATAGTGAGGGGCCGAGCATGGGGGGCAGCGAAATCTCCAGAAAAGGGGCCCTCTAGGGGCCCTGCAGCGACCATTTGAGGCCAAAGAGGGGTCTTCTAGGGCCCGAGAGAACGCCTTGCTTCCCCCGAATTTATCGCCCCCCATTAATTCGCGCCCAAGCCCCCCTCCGCGTTCAGGGGCAACGCTGGGGGGATAGGCTCAGCGGGTGGGGGGGCGGCATCGGCCCCCGACCGACCATGCCCCCATGGCATTCCCCGCCCAGGAACGTGCGGTTTCGGCGCTTTCTCCCCTGAGCAAGTCCTCCCCCTTACGGTGAGGGCAGTGAAGAAGGAATTGATGGATAAGGATCCAAGGTCTGGAAGCTGGTGGAACTCAACCAGGGGTTGGTCGTGGACGCATCTGCCGCCCTCATCAGATCAGGAATTCCCCAGGGCCTGAAGCCTCTCGTCGGAGAAACGTAGGATTCGATGTCGCCGCAACTCGGGTTTGCCGACGTTTTTTGACGGGCCCGTCCTGCGTTTTCAGTGCGATGTCTTCAGCGGGAGCTCGCGTCCAATTCAGATTGATTTTCGTCATTTCTGGACGGCCCCGTCGGGCCAACCCGAACCCCCCGAACCCGAGTCCTACGTCTTCCCGAAATGGTATGGCCGAGACGCTTTAATAAGGGCGCCGCTTGGGGCTCAGGATGGGCAGTTCCTCAGGTCTGTGACCAGAGCTTGCCGCGGCCAGAGAAGACCTTGCGTTCCTCACGCGGCGTTCTTAGTGGCAGCGCCATGACGGGGCCCCCACCGGTATCGTCAAGCAGTGGCGAAGCGTCCTGGCTCGCCTGTAGGCCTACCAAAGAATGTTCCAAGAACCTTTTGTGGTTTCCACGAAATGTTCTCAGAACATTTCTGGCTGGGACTGTCTTGTTTTAGCACATCGGGTGTATGTTCTGAGAACATTGTTTGAACATTTCCAGGTTTCTAGAACATTTCGTGGTAAGAAATATCAGGACGGTCGGTCCCTGCTCAGTATCGCTCCCCGTCCCTTCTCCGCGCCGCGCAGAGGACCCGTGAGAGCCCCGGGGCTCCGATGGCGCGGCGCCGCGGTCCCGCGGCAGCGGCGGACGCGGCGGGGCCTCGACGTGGCGCGGCCTCGGTGTGGCGCGGCCTCGGCGCGGCCGCCGCGAAGCGCGGGGCCGTCGCGGTCGTCGTCGTCGTCGTCGTCATTGTCGTCATCGTCGTCGTCGTCGTCCGTCGTCCGTCGTCTGTCATCGTCGTCGTCCGTCATCGTCCGTCGTTGTCCATCGTCGTCGTCGGCGTCGTCCGCGGTCGTCCGTCATCGTCGTCTTCGTCGTCCGTCGTCGTCGTCGTGGTCGTCCGTCGTCGTCGTCGTCCGTCGTCGTCGTCGTCGTCGTCGTCATCGTCGTCGTCGTCGTCGTCATCCGTCGTCGTCCGTCGTCGTCGTCGTCGTTGTCGTCGTCGCCGTTATCCGTTGTCGTCGTCGTCGTCGTCGTCCGTCGTCGTCCGTCGTCGTTGTCGTCTGTCGTCGTCGTACGTCGCCGTCGTCGTTGTCGTCGTCCGTCGTCGTCGTCGTCGTCGTCGTCGTCCGTCAACCACAGTCGTCATCGTCGTCGTCGTCGTCTGTCATTGTCCGTCGTCATCGTCGTCGTCGTTCCGTTTTCGTCGTCCGTCGTCGTCGTCGTCGTCGTTCGTCGTCGTTGTCGTCGTCGTATTCCGTCGTCGACGTCGTAGTCCGTCGTCGTCGTCGTAGTCCGTCGTCGTCGTCGTCCGTCGTCGTCGTCTGCGTCATCGTCGTCAACGGCGTCGTCGTCGACCGTCGCCGTCAGTCGTCGTTGTCGTCGTCGACCGTCGTCCGTCTGTCGTCGTCGTTTTCGTCGTCGTCGTCGTCAATCATCGTCGTCGTCGTTTGTCGTCGTCGTCTTCGTCGTCGTCGTAGTCGTCCGTTGCCGTCGTCGTCGTTGTCGTCGTCGTTTCGTCGTCGTCATCGTCCGTATTCGTCCGTCGTCGTCCGTCGTCGTCGTCGTTGTTATCCGCCGTCGACCGTCGTCGTCCGTCGTCGTCGTTGTCGCCCGTCGTCGTCGTCCGTCGTCGTCGTCGTCGTCCGTCGTCCACCGTCGTCATCGTCGTCGTCGTCCTTCATTGTCCGTCGTCGTCGTCGTTCCGTCTTTGTCGTCCGTCGTCGTTTTCGTCGTCGTCTCGTAGTCGTCGTCTCACGTCGTCGTCGTCGTTGTCGTCGTCGTCCGTCGTCGTTTTGTCGTCGTCGTCGTCGTCCGTCGTCGTCCGTCGTCGTCGTCGGCGTCGTCGTCGTCGTCGTCGTCGTCGTCCGTCGTCGTCGTCATCGTCGTCGTTGTCGTCCGTCGTCGTCGCAAGTCGTCGTCGTCGTCGTCCGTCGTCGTCGCCGTCCGTCGTCCACCGTCTTTTTCGTCGTCGTCGTCGTCCGTCATTGTCCGTCGTCATCGTCTTCGTCGTCGTTCTGTCTTCGTCGTCATTCGTCGTCGTTGTCGTCGTCTATGCCGTCCTCGTCGTCGTCGTCGTCCGCGGTGGTCCGTACTCGTCGTTGTTGTCGTCGTCCGTCGTTGTCGTCGTCGTCGTCGTTCGTCGTCCGTCGTCGTCAACGTCGTCGTCGTCGACCGTCGTCGTCCGTCGTCGTCGACGTCGTCGTCGTCCGTCGTCGTCGTCGTCGTCGACCGTCGTCGTCCGTTGTTGTCCATCGTCGTCGTCGTCGTCGTCGTCATCGTCGTCGTCGTCGGTCATCGTCGTCCGTCGTCGTCGTATTCGTCGTCGTCGTCGTCGTCGTCGTAGTCCGTCGTCGTCGTCGTCGTCGTTTTGTCGTCGTCCGTCGTCGTCCGTCGTCGTCGTCGTTATCCGCCGTCGTCCGTCGTCGTCCGTCTCGTTGTCGTCGTCGACGTCGTCGTGGCCCTCGTATCTTGGAGCCGAGTGGGGGTTTGAGGTGGCCCAACACCGCTTCCGGCCAGCAGGAGCGGGGCGGCAGGTTCGAGGCGCTGGGTTCGGGAAGAATGTATTGTGTCTTTCTGTCTCTGGGGGCTGTGTTTCGGTCCCAGGACCGTCAAGAATGGGTCTGGTGTGACAACACCAGAAGGATCCCAGGAGACGACCGGAGACCGATGTGGGCGGATGTCCTTTCTGTCAGATATTCAGGGGCCTCAGCCAGTTCGGACAGGCCGCCTCCGACCCGCATCCGCCTCTCCTCCGCGCTTTCCTCAGGAGCGGAAGACAAACGCACACGTACATGAGTCCACGTCGGTTTCGAGGGTACGCGTTGCGCGAACGCTCAGATCACGCGGTTTGTCTCGCGGATTTTGGGGCCGTGTTCGTGTACGTGGTTGGGCGCGTACGTCTGGCGGCCAGGTCGGTTGGCAGCGCCGGGTGTCCCACGGAGCGCGGGCAGGCGGCTCCCCTTTCCAAGGGTTGGTCACCAGAAAGATCACCAGAAAGAATTGCGAGCACCAAGAAAATACCGAACCTCGAGGGTTTTCACGTGTCGGGCCTTGGGACACACTCGTTCGACACTGTTTCGACACTTGGCCGGGTGCCCGCAATTATTTCTGGGATGGTGTCCTTAAGTACGATGGGATCAACATATAATCCCGAGGCAGGGGCGGGCGCAGGCGCGGGAAGGGGACACGGGCGGCAGGAACTGGGG